CTGAATATCCAAATGTGTTATATCTCAAAAAAAGGAAATCAAATGTATGTATGTAGACTCTGAAGGTAAGGAAGTCAAACACCACAAAATAATATAAACATGTTAAATCAATGCTTGCAAAAAACCTCACTTACCATTCAAGGGATTTTTTTTGTGTCTTTTCCTATACAATTCTGCCTTGCAGCATGGAATGTGGCTCATTGTACAGGGGCAGAAACAACAGAGAAGAGGCACCTCCTGCTCTGCTCCAGCAATGAATAGAAAGTAAGGGAAAAGTTACGAGGATAATTTTTTCCTAGTGAACACAGTGGTCACAAAAGATACCCCTCCTTCAGGGGTTATCAGCTCATACGCATATCGCAGACCTTCAGACAGACTAAAGCAGATTTGGAATTCTCACTTTCTAAAAAAGACAACAGAATCAGAGCAAATCAGCATCGCAGACACTAAAACAGTACAGATCTCAGTCTCCGGATCTGTACTGAACCACCAGTTATACTGAAATTACTTGTATGCCATTTAATTCCCAGCAGATCCCATGTAACTCCAGTACCGATTTTTTGTAATAGCAACATGCAAGACAAAACTTGCATGGCATTGTTTTCCTTCTTGTTTGTGTGAGTGATTTATCTAATATGCGATTATAAACTGAAATGTTCAAGATTTCTTTCAATAAATACTACTTCTCACACAAGGAAATAATAAGACTTTAACAAATTAGAGCCTGATTACCTACATACATCATTCTAGAAACACATTGAAAAAAATTAACATAAATCACAAGCAATTACAAAACAGCTGAAAAGAACCAATAAAGTGTAAGCATGCTCTATTTCAAAGAAGAAAAGACATTATTTTTTATTTTCTTCTTGGTAAAGTAGCATATTTTAACCAGATTACAACAAAATTACCACAAGATATTTAAAAAAAAATTACAAGAAAGTATTTAGAAAATTATATATATACACATTTGCTTAAAAATTCTATAATGTAAACATTAGCATAACAAGTTAAAATAATATTACAAACTTTTTATTAATACTTATGTGAATACTGTACATATATATATGCTTCAGAATTAATGCTATCTTTCCTACAGTTTAACAGGAACAACAACAAAAAAAATCGCCCCCCAAGTCAAAAGGAAATCCATCATCTTCAGTTGCCAACAGGTTTTGTCCCACATACAAGATACTTAGTTATTTAGCTCTGTGTTAAGTAAGAAAGAAAGCACAGCATTTCAGAATTAGATTTTCAACCACATTTACATTTCTCTAATTTTTAGCGTCTTAAATGATTAATATGCCACTCAAAAAAACAACTACCACAGTTTAACTCCTGTCATGTCATTAACATTCTGTCATAATTTCTGAAATCTTATTAAAGAAACTGATTCCCTCTACGTGGAAGTGCAATTACATTTGTTTCGATGCAACAAAAAAAAAAAATATTTTTTTTAAGTCCAGATATTTGCAGCAATTTGTAAATCTGGAAAATTAATTCCTCTCTAAACACTTCAGTGCTGTTTTGTAGTAAAATTCATGCCATTATTAACCAAAAGCTAAGCTGCTAATATTAATTAGAAGTATGCTCTGATTATTTTTTTTAAATAAATTTTATAAATAATCTAAGTTATCTATAACCGGACTATAAAAGTACAGTTAGTGCAGAGTAAGAAACAAATGAAATGTGCAGTGTCAGACCACCGTGTAGAACAAGTGTTTTATCTTCCATTCAGGATGTGAAATACAAAGCAGGTTAGCTCGTATTTTTAAACATATTCTATATTTCATATATATAATTGCATATGTTAAAGTGATTCTTTCAATACAGAATGCTAAGAAACTACTGAGACGGCTAAATAATCATCAAATTAATGTTCCATGTGATGCAGGGTGCTGACTGAAATCCTAACCTACAAAAATCAAAGGAGAGAAATTATTTACTTTTTTGAGTTGTTCAACCCCTTTTCCAGCAGTGCCTCAACCTCCAACACAGAAGTATTATTGTTGTTTCCAAGGCGAAAATTGTGTTCTCCTGTTAAACATTGTTATTTTCATATATACTAGAGTTCCCGTTAGAAGAGCACAGTGCTGCAAGGGCATGTAAGAGCAGAATTCGGTGAAAAAAGTCTTTCTTTCTTTTAAACAGCTGTTCCACAGGTTTCTTAGAGTAATTTCAAGCAGGTAACTGTATTTCTATCCACAGGTATATCTTATCTGTCCTCAGAATTACAAGATAATAGACAAAAAATGTTTTGGGGTGGGGAGTGCGTGTTTGAGCCTTTGAAATGGCATGAAACTTATAGCTGAACTGAGATCCCTGTGCGCTTTGAAGCAAAAAGAATGACATCCATCTCTGAAAGTACTAATAACTGATTCTGTTAACAAAATACCACATTCTTAAATCATTAATACATCCTGACAGACAGTATCATTAGTTCACCTGGGGCTCACTGAGTCTCATTTATTATTAGCTTGCTGCTCTGAGTCAGTCAACCCCATTTGTTAGTAGGTTCTTATTAATTAATTTGACAGCTACCATGCAGACACTGTTCTATACAATAAAACATTACTTTGTAACAAAAAAAATGCACCTTTGCAATAGGTCACAATTTTGAGCCAGTGATCTTTAAATACCATTATGCCCTTTCTCTAAATACTTGTATTAATCCAATCACGATGGTTTATGACTTGCAGAGGATTCTATAATATATTATAGTTTGATTACAACTATCACATCAACAATATTATCCATAAAAAAGACTGGCTATGAAATTATTAATCTTCCTAAGAGTATGTGACTTAATGGACATATCAATGTAAGCCTTTATAACTATGTCAATATCCTCTCTCATACAAACCTCAGAAATTTATTACTATTATAGAGAAACTTGATTTAATGCAAAAGCCAAGTCGATACAATGCATTCTCTACAATGAATGACAGAATCTCTAAATAAATGAGATTCTGAAAAAACATAGTCAATCTGTAATGAATACCGATAGACAGTAACATCTGCAAAAGGTGGAAGAGTCTTGCCTGCCCTGTGTTCATTTTGCATGTGATTGGAGAACAGCATTAAAATAAAAGTAATGCCACTTATTTTTACAATTTATTTTGAATAGTCACTAAAGGTTCCACATTAGCAGCCCTCGAGATCTTACATGTCTAAAGATAAAACAGGAATGAAATGGCAATGATATTACAAATTCCTCTATACTGCCTCATACCAGGCCGTAGCCCAAGGCTTCCAGGAACAACTCCAGGGACCAGCTTGTCCTGAGTCCTCTGTTCTGCAATTACAGTGCTGTTCAAAGGAGCCAACAGGAACTGACTGAACTCATCAGCTCATTGTGCACTGGCCACACTGACCACATGTAAGGGTTCAAAAGCTATCAGTCAGTACCAAAGGAAATTAGATTGTTACAAAAACTGTAACTACGTGCATGGAATTAGGTGACACAGGATAAACTGATAAAATCATGCAATTGATAGAATTGTTGTTACACTTACAGGTATTTTAGAAGAATAATACAACTATTTGGGATTCTTAATATCAGCTGGTCAACCTTCCTCAACAGTCTTTGCTGATTCTGGTAAATAACAAAACAAGTGGAATTTGTGACAGATACGTACAATTTTCTCAAAGACAGGACATTTTAGAATGTCTTGAGGTGCTAAAAATTTGGGCATTCTTATCACAACGTATCTACTTGCAGTCATGCAAGTACCTCACTGATCTTCAAAATAACCAGGTGTATAAAGTGGGAAAGCTATCTTGTGAAGAAAGGCTTTCATTTAATTATTTTCTGAGATTTCAGAGAAACCACAGATGAGCTTTTAAATTGATTAGTCATGCATCCATTATGGTATCTTGTATCACCAAGTGAACATTGCTTGTAGACTGTAATCTTAAGAGCTGGTATACAATTCAGCTAAGGTTAACGAACAATTTGTACACAGTAAACAAAGTTAGTATTTTTATGTGATCTACATATATACTTTAAAAATTACAAGAAGTGAGATAATCAGGAATGAAATAATTTTAAGAGCCAAATGTAGATACAAAAAATTCCTTCTGAACAACAACAAAAAAATTTCAATTTAGTCTGCACTAAATGAGATTTCTTACCATTTGCAACTCTCTGAATAAGGAGTACTTTGTGAATGATTTCCTGAAAATGTGAATTATTTCTAGAAAATGGATACAGCTTCATGTAACAAACAGATACATCCCAAAGGTTTCCACATAGTGTTTTCTTTCAGCTTTACTTGCAATTCAATGTTAATACATGTGCGTCACATTTCTACTAACCAAGTCTCTACTTTCTGGAACAATTCTAAATCTGTTTTTCAAAGTGGGACCATCATTATAGCTACTTTTCTTTCCAACAAAGACAAACTGAAGTATCAGCAGTGTATCAGACTGAGGAGTTTGGAGAAGCATTAACTGACAAGCTACTCACTTTCATTTCTTCTTAACTAGATGTCCTGTGGTAGTTTATACAAAACACCAACAGTAATTCATCTTTTAATAAAAACAAATTAGCTAGCTCCCAGGCTGGGCTGTTGGATTTTTCTATTTATCTATCTATTTAATTTGTAAATGAGATCTCTTACTGACTGAAAAACATTGTTTAATTTCTGTGACATGATTTTATTTTGTGGTACTTCATCTACTGAAATTTCTGACCTGAAGAGTGAATTCCACCCCTCTTTGTCACATTTTGCTATTCAGTGCAATCTATAAGCTACGTTTGTCAGTGGTAAGAATCCAGCACCTGGGGCTCATACTTGGGCACCAGCCCGCTGATGCTACTCACTGTGTGTAATGACACCCTACTTGCTCAGGAAGTACCACAGAACATGACTGGACCACTTACCTGAGTAAACAATACCCGATGGTCACAGGTTTGCAGAACAGAAATTCCAAGTTGCTAGAGCTTTAGAAAAGCACTGAGGTAAAAGATCAGTTATTAATCATCAGCTTGTTTTTTCTGCAGGGTAATATTAGATTTCAATATCTACTGATGTGAGAATTTAATATAATGAATGGATAACAAAATGACAAGATACATCAAGTAACATTATCCAAAAAACTTCTGAACTGAGAAGAAAGATGTTCTTACACAAAAGAAAACCAGAATACAATTGATAGAAAATTCAAATGTACACTGCTTAACCTTAATGAAGAAAAGAAGATAGCTAACATATAATTAACTGCCTACAGCAGTGCAGCTAATGGATACTGAACTGGATTCCAGTTCATCCGTGTCAGGGCTTCCATCACTTGTAATAATTCTTGTCAATTTTTTTAGTTACTCTTACAGTAGTACCATTACAAATTACTTTTCAATAAGAGGTGATAGCTAACAGGCACTTTCATTACAGACAATTTCATTACAGACAAGTATCGCCATGTGAAGGGGTTTACAAAATCAGAGTAAGAATTCCACACTGCCCTGTTAATGATGGACTGTTCTGTAACATCAGCAACAAATTAATAACAACATATAACCCAAGACTTGAAAATAGTATTTTGTACCATGCTAACTTTGTGTATCGTCGTGGTGGTTTGTAGAAATCAATAATACTGCACCCAGCCTTACAGCAAGACTGAAATCTCACTAAAAAGTTATTACATTCTCTGATTTTAAAGAAGTACTCCCCACAAATGAAAGCTATTGAGAATATCTAACTAGAAATGTACAAAAGCTTTTTTTCCACCTGTAATGTTTTTCCCTTGTCATCTACTTTGTCAAGTTTTTTAAAAACCTTTGTGTGTGTCAGAGGTTAACACTAAAAAAACCCCCAGTCTTTCTATTTACAAAAGGTAATAAATTAGTGAGGTTCTTTTAAGCATATCTTTCTGACATATTAAGTAGTGATAATCACAACTGTTCTTCTAAGAAAAAAAAAAAAGTTGTCTTGACATGATACCCATGTCTCTGGAAAAGCAAAATGTACATGTAGAAAGGGAGACAACAGAATACAAACAACGATTTCATAGTAACAGGAGAACTTCAGAAGAACAAAGAAGAATATGTGCAATGCAGCTTTACAAAACAAAATGCCTATCAGGTTGCTGAGCCCTTGTGAAGAGCCCTCATATTCTTTTGAGAAAGTGATTGCTGCCTTCCAAAGTAGTTAATCAGGATATGACCCTTTAGTAATGAATGTCTCTTTTCAGGATTTAAGTTGATGCAGCTGTAGTCTCTTCAGGAGCTTAAATTATAAATATAGGCTAGGAAGGAATCACAGAACTTAAAAGTATGTGGTGTCAATATTCATAATTATGAAAAAGGGTCAAAGATCACCACTCTGAGGTTCCAGGCTTCGTGGCTCTCTTTGATGGCTGCGAGATAGTTTGGGGAAACGTGTAGTCACTCTTGAGCGACTGCTTTTGCTTACTGGTTCTCCAGAAGGCGGAATATCACTAGGAAGACAAGAAATAAAGACAGAAGTAGCTAGTTTACATTATATATAAATTAATCTGAAGTTATTCCAAACATGAAAAAAGCAGATGCTATGAGAGCCTGGCACATGACTGCAAAGTACGGCACACATCTTCAGCTACACAGAACTGCATTCTTTCTACTGGTATCTCAAGTGTGAATTACAAATGTGCTCCTTCAAAAATGAGAACTAGTAGAACTTTCAATACTTTATGGAAGATTGCAAATTACAGGATAAAAGCATAATTCTATGAGTTTGCAGTTCAGAAATGGTCGGAAAAGCATTCTGAAGTGATAAAAGTACAAGCAAAATAGACAAGAGCTTGGATGATGCTCTACTTAACAATCCTCTAATTATGGATGGATGTATCATTACATGATGAAGTACATTAGTAATACATCCATGTTGGGAATTCTTCAGTCTCTTCTGACCCACAACAGACTATAGTCTTGCATGAATGAGCCTTTTGGAAAAGACTCTGAGAAGTACATTAAGTTCAACAACAAGCAGTAACAGAAAATTCCAGCTTACCTAGGTGATATTCAGAGGCTATAGACTCCTCGGAAAACTACAGTATAAAGGGATAGCATTGTACTTTTGCCATTTTTTTAGAGGACTCCACATGGTTTTTAATTATACTGCTTAGATACAGATCAATAAATAAAACTAAATTTTGCAACTCAGCTAGGCAATGAAATTACACAGCATACAAAGCCAAGCTTATTTTTATAAGTTAAAAAAAAAACCCTATCTTCAGAGTGAGTTAACAAGTCCATAAGGGAGGAATTGCTCATCCGCAGTTCTTGCCAGATTAAACAAATACAGATACATTTAAAAACAATCACTGAATTTACTCTCTGTAGTTCCCTTTTCCTGCAGAGTGCCCTTCCTCCCAGGTCAGACAGCCCTGCAAAACCCATAGGCATGCTCAGCCTCCACTCCAGCACCCACACGGGAGAGATCCTGGCAAAGCAAAAGCCTTTCACAAGTCCTGGGACTGAGCGGAAAATTCACTTGCAGGAAGCAGAGCACTGCTGCAAGGTTAAGGCAGCGGTGTCACTGGTAGCCGTTAGCTACCATTTGTAACTACAATGCGCACATCGGCTGTTACTCACTAACAATAAATAACAAAAAAACAGTATAGAAAAAACATGTCCAATTCAGATGCTAAACATTAACAGAAAATAAAATTATGGTTTTTAATGACAGTGTATTTTAATTGTCTAAATTTCTGAGCAGAACAGTCTAAAATAACCTTAGTTAAAATGATAAAGGATTTTTCTAAATTAAGATTCATGACACTCCTCTTAAAGTATTTAGTCTTCCTAGGTAACTAGGAAGTCCTTCACATGAAATGATTGCATTAAATACCTGTGGTACACATCCCCCTCTTCTTTAATAACAAGATTAATAAGGTAGATCTTTAATTCCTTGTTTTCCTTTTCACTAAAATAAAAACTCTAAAAATTAATTTAGCATATGTTATTAATTGTTGGTAGCCAAGGATAATTGGACTTCCAAACCTGGTCCTACGATTTCTTATTTTGAAACTCAGCAATGCTCTCTAAGTTGCTGTAGAGAATTCTGATCATGTGAATCCAATTTCAGCTGTTCTCATTAGCATGGATTTCTTTTAGTAACATGAGTATTATTACTCATTATTTTTGTACTACTTATAAAATTGCAACACTGCAGTGTCAATACTCTAACACTTGTAAAATAGAGCATGGGATACTGGCTTTAGAGGGTTGTGATTTTGTGTTAAATATGTATTTTTCAGAACATATAAACATAAAAGTATCCAAATATCAAATATACAATGGAATAAAATTAAATTTTCATCTCATTGAGCTTTTCTCAATCTAGAATAGGTTAATTTACCAGCATGGTGGCTACTGCTGATACTACTTTAGCTTTATCAGGCAGACTTTACAGATACACGATAGTTTACGCTGCAGAAGAAAGCACAGCGTTATGCGCAATTACTGTAATTTGGTGATTGCTGTATTGAAAGTACATTTAATACACAAGCTCCTCCTGCTGGCACGTCCACAAAATGACATTAGTGTCAGCCCAATGGGAAGCCTCTTCTCCCTTCTGGAGGAAAAATGCCATTCAGAGAAAAAAGCATAAAAGGTGCAAAATTAATTTCCCTAAAATGAAGATATATGAATTAATATCAGTCTGTCCTGGCAGGCACGGCTGAGGTAATAAGATCATTTTAGGATGATTACATGAACACCAATGTCTGTGAATGAAGGTCAAAAATTGCAAGTAATTCTGCTAATTTAAATGATGCTACTCCAGAACAAGATGTATCTAATAATGAAATTAAGAGATAATTTGTCTTAAATGTCTAAGCTAATTTTTATAATGACAACCCAAATTCTAAGATAAATCATTATGCTATGTAGGTTTACAGAAACCGATTTATATCAGAGCAATTAGATCTTCATGCATCCAGCATGAAAAAGGAAACTGGAGCCAAAATTGAATTGATCAACTTCCATGGAAACAGATGTTGTATGGGAATAAAAGTTTAGAGTAATAAAAAAAAGTAATACATTTAAAAGTATGTATCTTACGCCCTTTTCCATCCTCCCTCCTCCAAAACCTGATGAGAAAATTTGCCATCTCGGTTGTCTCTTTCAGCTCTAGCTTTTTACTCTACAATTAAAATGCTGACTTTCTAATAACACCCAGAAAGTTTAACTACTAAATTTGGGGGAAAAAATGACCAACCACCCCCAAAAATGCATGGAAATCAAGTCGGAGGAAAAGATTAATCACCCATCTCTTCTTTATCCTGTTACTGGATTTAATAATATAGTTCTGGGCTTGAGGTCAAATGATACAGACTGGCACAAAACGAGACAACTTTTTAAACCCATTGACACTCCAACAGGTCAGATATTCCATGAACTCTTGGGCAGACGTACAAACACCTTCAAATGATCCTGTCAATATTTCCGGTAAATGCACATGAAGATGAAATTGAGACACTTGTTTTGAGTCTATTTTTGCCAATCTGTGTTTGGGATTGAGGAGGAAGGAATAAGCGTACCTACATGCAATGTTTGCAAATCCTCTCATTTGTCTCATTCAGCAAAACCAGTCTCTGGGCTAGTTTTTTGGGGTTGAGTTAGGGTTCACCTATAGTTGATAGTTTTACTCAGATGAAATAAAAATTTAAAACATGTAAATCCAAAGGAGAGAGTAGCTATTCTGGAATAACTCTTCCAGAAGAGCTACCCCAAGTCCCTGGGGTAAGCACTTACTCTTTAAGTCTACATCTGAGTTACACCTGTCCAGTTTTAATACAACATTCTTCTTTTCATTCTATTACCTTCTTAGGCACTGAAGTCTTACCAGGGTTTAATTTTCTAGGCTGGCAGGCAGCCGGATGCTTGCCAGGCATTACCCTGTTCAGCAGTGGAATGTCCAAGTATTAAAGGCTCAAGTTCTTGTCTACATTCTCACCTTGTCCCATTCTGAAGAAAAAAGCAACCTGTAGAGGCAATCAATTCCTTCTGCCCACCAGGTCATTGTTTAGCTTTTAAGCATTCCCGATTGATCTGTCCAGCGTTTGTTTGGATACCAATTCAGTTTCATTGATTTTGTCTTGGTGTCAAGTTCTGCCTGAGGTGCGTGTCTATAGAAAATAGCTTAAAATAACTGGTCTTTTTAATCAGCTTCTAGTTTATTCGTACCTTTCATTTATTGCTCTCCATGTATCAAAATGTAAACTGCATTTTTTGTGTATTTCTTTACATACTTAGCATACGGAACTGCAGTATTCTCTTAGCTGATGTTGTGAACATTTACATGAAGAAATTTATTTCCCATCTCGTTTCTACTCTCCAGTATAAAATTAGAAAGAGAAGTTTCTTATAAAAATAGCATAACATGTCTGCAATTGGAAATACTGTCATATCAGTCAGAAATCAGAGAACAGAAGTAATAAGCATGTCCTGGGAGCATAGCAAAGCTCAGGATCAAGTATTTCATACATATATATACATATAACACATGTAAATGCATCTCTGGATACATTATTGATTCTAGTTTTGCTTGAGTTGTATTAAACACACCTTGTGAAGACAGGCATTAGCTGGCAGATAAATCTTTTTTGACAGTTTCTTGTGTGATTAGTGTTTTTGTTTATCATGATAACAATCTAATTTCTGGTTATAACCCAATGTTTAATGCAGTAAACTTGATTCAGGCAGACAGCCTCCTCAAAAAGGTAGCATTAAACAATGCCTATACTATATTAAGAGATCCTTATTCAACAAATGACATTGTATAAGCAAGTCAAAGTCAGTTGTATCTCAGCACCTTCTGCCAATTCAAATCAGCTGAAACACCTGTTTAGTGGCATTATTAACTACTCTGACTTCATCAAATCATTTTATACACTCTAGTAACCCCTGCTTTGCAGTGATCTGGGTAATATCCTTGTTTCCAGTTGCTGAAGTATAACATAATTGGAGCCACATTCCTGTCATCACTCTCCATCCATTAATAAAAATGACTGAGCTGGGATGTTTAAATAGTCAGCTGTTAACAGAAAAGATGGAAAGATATGGGTAAGATAATCCCTCTGTAGTACACTTCAACATTGAAAATCCTGAAGACTCTATTAGAGGAAAGTTGTCAGGTTAAAAACTGAGTAATCATTTCCTATCTACATTAGACCTGAACTGATCAAGAAATTAAAAACATTAATTCTAATATTTTATCTGTTTTATTAATATACAGCTCCTTCTACTTCCACATACATACTTCTACAGCAGAACACAGTATTCATAATGACTTATTCAATTTCTTCTTGCTGTGAAATAATTACAAGCACATAATCCTGCTTCCATTTGTTATAATTTGAATGATCCTAACTTGAACGTTCTCATGCTACAAATCAATTTCCGTATCAG